TAAAAAGTATAATTTAACATGCACACATCTATCACACACATCAACAGCCTTTAATAGTCCACTGCTGGACATAGGCCTCTCCTTAGAAAGAAGGTTTACATACATCTATACTTTTATTTTAATGTGAAAGTGAGTTTGTTCATTTATTGTTACGCTTTCACGCCTAAATCGCTAAACCGATTTTAAAAATTCTTTTACCAGTGGAAAGTTACATTATCAAGGAGTAATATAGGCTACTTTTTATCGCGATGACCGACATAGAGCCGCAGGCAAAAGCTAGTACTTAATAAATATATGAATTATTTTGAAAATCAAAACCTTTATTAAATGAAAACGTTTAAAATGCAGGTTTGTGTTTTTATTTCTTTCAACTTTCAATGTCACAAATAAATAAACACTTGTAAACATTTAATATACATACACAAAACTTTATTTTTAAGCAAATGTTGCGTAAGGTCAGCTGCTAAGAATACAGTTTATTGCTCTAAGTAGCACTTTAATAAACTATTGTTCGTCCCTGAAAAGAACGGTTGTCATGCTAACGCATTAGAAATGCCAGGTGAACGTGGTTATAAAAGCTCAAATAACAACCTCCACAGCACCCACCACAACCCATCTTTGATGGAGTCTAGAGAAGAGTAATTACTATTGATCCGTATCTTCTACACAGAAGATCTAGCACTTTCTGGCTATAGCCAATTCGAGTTGAAGGGTATAATATCCTACTATTACCGTGTCTTCTTACCTCCCTTTCTTTAAACTCCTTATTATTTAATTATGTTTGGACATATTTAACACATTCAGACTCTTTCATTGACTAAGAAGTAAAAAAAATCGACATTAGGGCGACATTGTGGACTATTGCTTTAACTTGTATAAGGAGACTCGTATGAGTCTATCGCTCTAGAAGTATTTCTAGAAGCGAGGCAGTTTAGAAACAGAGAGGATATCGAACGAATCATCACACATCTCTTAATTCTTAAAAATAGCTTAGTTTCAATTTACATCATTTTTATTTATTAACTACCAGCTTTTATGTATGTCGGTTATCGCGATAAAAAGTAGCCTATGCTACTCGCCGATAATGTAGCTTTCAATTTTTAAAAGGGATCGTGTTTCAGGCGTTTAAGCGTGACAAACCAACAAACAAACTCACTTTCAAGTTTATAATATAAGTTAAATTATATAGATATTTAATATAAGTTATATTATATAGATATTTAATATAAGTTATGTTTATAATATAAGTATGGATTAACAGAACAAACTTTTATTTAAATTTTAATAAACAAACAAAACAAATTTGAAGACCTATATGACGCGGTGGTATGGCTACGGCTATTGCAAGGTAAGGTTACGTAAGTTTGATACCCACAAAATGCAAATATTTGTATGCATTAATACGTCTATTTACATAAATCTGGAGGCTTTTATATATCACACGTTTATACGTCCTTACAGTACAACGAAAGTATCTAAATTTTACATGTTCTTGGACCTATAGCAATTACAAAAAAAACAAAAGGCTTGAATGAATGGTTGATAAGACTATGCGTTCGTTAGCGATTCCAGAAACTAAACTATTTTTATAACGTAAACAAGAAATTATCAAAAAAGTTCTGATAACGTTATTTATAAAAAGTGTTGTTGATGTTTGAAGAGCTAATAATAAAATACAAAACGGCCAAAGAGCAGTCACAAAGCATTTGAAACAAATAGTTTTAAAAAGCCAGACAAATAAGCAAATAATTTTGAGAAATGTTAAATATTATGAAAGATAATTCGGAGAATTTTCAGGAATCAAAAAAAAAACAATTCGTGTATGTGAATATTATTGGAATACTAAAGATTTTGAATGAAAACTAGTTTTTGGTTTTGTTTCGTTTTATAGATTGATATAATATTTGAAACTATTATTATATTATTATTTGAAATTAATCCTAATCTTTTAAAGTAGTAGCTAAAATGCGAATTTTAAGATGGATTTCCGGAGTGACTAGGATGGAAAGTTGAGAAGTAACCGGTTATCCTGGTATGGACATGTGATGCGTAAAGAAAAGATTTTTATGCATGGAAGTTGACGGGTATAAGAGAAGAGGACAACCAAAGAAAAGATGAATGGACTTCGTTAAAAAAGGTTTGTTTAGATAGAAAAGGGTGTGAGCTGTAAACTGACGAGTGATAGAGAAGAAGAGATCAAGTTACGCAAATCGTTTTGATCTTCTAAGATGAAAGCGCCAACTCCAAATAAAAAGGCAAGAAGATAATGTTTCTTTCTATTTATTAACCGACTTCAAAATCATAAAAGAGGAGATTATAAAGATAAAGAGGAGATTATAAGAAAAAGAGGAGATAAAGATTAACCAAATATGGAGTACCTCAAGGAAGTATTTTAGGGCCACTTCTGTTTCTCATTTATATTAACGACATGCCCAAAGTCACACATCATCCAATGGTCTTATTTGCATATGATAGCACTGTGCTTTTCAGTCCTAGTCATAATCACTTGACGTTCGAAACAGAAACAAACGACTGCTTGAGAACGTTAATTGACTGGTTAGAAGCAAATAATTTAAAATTGAACCTCGATAAAACTAAACTCATGACGTTTGAACAAAAAACCAATCACAATAAACCCGTGGTAAGATATGGTACTAAAACAATTGAAGAAACGAATCCCACTAAATTTTTAGGTATTGAAATAGATAGGGATATGTCTTGGCAAACTCAGGCAAATATTGTATGTAAACGGCTGTATCAATACTCCTATGCGCTTTATAATCTTTCAAAGATAGTTAACCAGAAATCCGCACTTACAGCATATTACGCTTTTGTTACATCTACATTGCGATATGGTGTTATATATTGGGGCAATTCAACAAACAGGGAAAGTATTTTCAAAGCTCAAATAAGATGTGTTCGAGCGATATACGGCATATAGATGACTGATAGCTGTAGACCTCACTTCTTGTCACTTCATATATTAACATTACCTTTTTTATACATTATATGAGATGGTAATGTTTTTAAGGAATAATTTCTATCTTTTGAGACTTTAAATAGTGCACGACATAATCATAAAATTAGTTTTACCCTACATAATAAAACGATATTTAAGAAAAATCTACTGGGAATGGCACCTAAAATATATAACTAACTTAATAAGGTTTATTATACAAAAGATGAATACTTAGCGGACAAAATTTGAAAAAAGCAATGTAAAAAGAAATTATTGTATAAAGTCAGACTTGACAAATACGTAAAATAATATATTGTATGGTTTTGAATTTAATTTATAAATATTATGTACAAATATGTTAACAATTTATAAAATTATGTTACATATATAATTTTTTATATATATTATAATTGAAATGTTACTGAAGGACTAATTTTGCATGCCTTAATGATTTACTTTGCATCCAATGACACCTTAGATGGTACATGACTATGTATTATGTTCAGCAATGAATAAATGATTGATTGATTGATTATAAATTCGGCTGTATTTTTTTTGTATCTTTGTCACGCGATATCTCTATCAATTGTGGACCAATTTTCTAAATTTCTTTTTGTAATCCTAAGGGTATACTCCCGAGGGAGCCTGTTTGGTGGTAATGGGACCACCCATTACCACCAAAACAGGATCTAATGATCCTAGAGAAATCGAGGGAAACCTTCCAAATTCACAGCCCCTACAACATGTTTTAGCTTGTTTCTCTAGCTATATAGGTTTTTGCGTTTATGTACCTTACGGAACCGAATCACACTTTATCAAACTGTGTTTTTGGAACATCATTGAAATAAAGTAAATTCACATTAGTTCTATCTGTAGTTAGTAACTTTAAATTAATATATTTGTGATAGTAATTCGTAATTAGATTTTTTAAATATTAAAAAAAAAACAGTTACCATCATCTCTTCTCCTTAGAAAGGAGGTTTTGGCCTACTATACCACGCTGGCCAGACGGGTTGGTATAGGATTTTTGTCAAGTTTTCCTTCTCTTTGAAGTGCTGTTATCTTGCGTAGTTTGCTCCCTTAGTCGGCTCTTACGACACCCACAGACAGACAGTTATAGTCGGAGTAAATTTCTTGCATTAGATAAACCCAGTTAAACCACCCCTTTAGCGTTTAAGGGTTGATTCCCACAGATGACAAACAAAAACAAAAACATTTACGTCGCCGACCGCGATTAAAAGGCTAGTAATTAGTACATTATTATATTATCTGTTGTTGTTAATGGACTTATTTTTGTATCTGTGGTTTTTCTAGAAACTGGTGAAATTGCGTTTGGCACACATTAGTAAATATATTGATTTTAAATTTTACTTGAAAACCATTTTCTCTACGTATTTGTGAGAATATGCTACGAAATATTTATTAAAATCTAATGAATACGTTTTATTGAGATTTAATCATAAAACGGTCGTTATTTTCCTATATACCTATAATTATACATTAACCATAATATGAATAAAATCTATTTGATTTAAATTAAAAAAGATTACACTGTTTATTTTTCATAAATCGGATGACCTCATACAAATCAACAATATAAATATAAATTATGATGGCCAGTGCAATAAAATTTTATTGACCGACATTATTAGACGTGTTTTATTGTATATATTTAGACAAAGAAATCTTAACTTGCAAACGTAGCGGAACCGGAATCAAACACGGTACATTGCATATGAATACCTACTACGAGTACATTACTTACTTATAGATAAGTTATATACTTTGTGATAAAAGTCTAAAGAAAGCTTATTTATTTACAGTCTGTGGTAAAGAATTATTGAAAGTACAAAAATGAAAGTCTTTTCAATTATTAAAAAAAAGATTGAATACATTTTAATGTAAATATGCTCCAAAAATAAGTAATGGTTGAGAAATAAATTATCAATAAAATTTCTTACAATAGGAAAACTTTTATCGCATATACAAACATTGTTTTATTCTCCACACACAAATAAAAATTTCAATGATGTCGACTCACCTCCCTTCGTTACGAACAACTTACAACATACACTAGATATTAAAAGGATAAATTTCAAGTTATTTCGAAATTATTTTCGAAATATTCGCATTTCGCGAAATCCATTTTTGGACGGCGCGCGCACCCTAATACTGACAGAAGCAAACTGACGCTGAGCCAAAGAATCGTGAACAAAACGCGTGGGTTTATTCACTATAAGATTGAATCATATTTATCTACAAGTGAGTTTTGAACTCTATTTTGTAGACAGTTAGGCATAATTTACAGTATAATCAACGAATTTACCTTTTTAATTTATCAATTCGTTTAATTGTACGTGCGATCAAAGTGGTGAAATGTAGTGCTTTCAACACTAAATACGCCTAAGGTTTGCAAATTATTTCTGCCTGTATATCAAGAACGTATGTTGTGACTTTAATTACACACTCTATATATGCTGAAAGGCAAGCAGCTAACCCCAATGGGTAAGATAGGGCTTCCCTGTAATGGTTTTCAATTACACCCTACCTAAATTTCCTATTTCTTGGATAGCTAGGCTTGAATACATATTTCTGGATAAGTTCATAACTAACTGATACTAACGTCAACCATCAGAAGATGAACGATAAACATATGCATCTGCTAAAGCAAAGTAACGTACTACACGTTAAGGAACTATAATTGACTGCACGGATGGCGTAGTGGTTTAAGCGGCCACCTGTCCGCTTCTTACTGCGTTGAGTATTGTGGACTCGATTCCTACAGTGGACAACTTGTACTGAGTCTGGGTATTCTTTATGTCGGTTTGATGAATGTTTGTAAAGTCCCCCGTGACACAGGGTAAATTCCTTGTTGCTATCTTTAAAAAAACGAATGCCAATAACATAATGGGAATGATGGTGACAATGGTCAAACTGTTTAGTCCAGGGAACCTTGAATAGAGAACACAAGTTGCAAACCATAGAACCAGAGATCCTCTGCCAGACAGACCGAAGAGGTTGAAATCGTTTTTTAGGTTATAGGGCTCGGGATTTTCATTCAATTTAAGTAAGCGAACCAGGCCTTTAGAGATCCCGATCTAGAAGAATTGGAAAAGGATATTGCTTATACGACAGATCCGTATAAGCAATATCTTTTTCAAACTATTGCATTTCCTACTTCTGTACTTTTCCTTTCAATATCCTCCTAATTTTCCCCTCTAATGCCTAAACTACATGGTCGATGGCAATAAGCCTCTTCCCTATTACGAAAGAAGAATTCTTGAGAATGAAAATAATTATGTTTATTTCGGTAATTTGCATATACAAACATACATATTCATCAAAATCGCTGAGGTCTTCATTTAAGTATGGAAAAACTTGTGTCATGAAACCTCGCTCTCCTATAATTATACTAGCTGACCCGGCAAACGTTGTATTGCAAAACAAAAAAAAATTAGGGATGGGTCACCCTTACCATTTAAGGGTATGAAAAATAGATGTTGGCTGATTCTCAGACCTACCCGATGTGCACACAAAATTTCATGAGAATCGGTCAAGCCGTTTCGGAGGAGTACGGGAACGAACATTGTGATACGAGAATTTTAAATATAAGATAACAATTTGTTTTGCCGAGTCACAATAACAGTGTAATAGATTTCTTTTTTCTTCAGAATCACCAGCTGAGAAGTTGTAATTTTTTTTTATTATGTTAAACAGTGTCACGTTTACCTGCAAAGATGCAGTAATTAGCTCATGTTATCAAGCAAATGTCAATAGGGCAAGACAACATTGAAAAAGTGCAGATAAGTACTGGACTTGGGGCTTGGACAGATATACAAAAGTAAAGTTGGCTTATTTGCGCATTATTAAGTTAATACTGCTTAAATTGAGGAAGTGCTGGTCAAGTGCGTGTTGGAGCACGCGGTGCAGGGTTCGGCAGTTTATTAGTAGCCTTTGGAAACTAATAACAATGCTATCTAATTTTTTAGATTACATAGGTTGGAAGAACTTCTTCTTAAATTAACAGTTCATTGAGCCGTAACATTTTTTCTTCGAAATCCATATATGTATATAACCATCAGGTTAACCCCTTCCCTACAAGTTAAACTCATTAGACGAAATTTAGCACTTTAGTGTTAAATATTTCATATATTTTGCAAGCGAATCGAAGCGAATCAATAAATCGTTTTTTTTTTATATTATTACTTAGAGTAATTAATACAATTTGTTCGAAATTCATACAAAATTTAAAGTTTTCTTGTATTACCAGTCTTTAAGCTAAACCGCGAACACGGGGACGGACAGACAGTTGGACATGGCGTAGCTCTCAGTAGAAGTGTTCCTAGAACTAGGAAGACTACACACAGAACAGATAATAACATAGTTAAATTAAATAATAAATTAACAGGTAATAATTTTGTAGCTATTTAAACGTTGAATACTTTTGAAAATAACCCATGTTGTTTAAACAAAACTTAGTATGTCAATATGCTGACGTTATCAACGTACGCGACAGACAGTCTGCTCGTACGCAACTTCTGTCACAGACGCATTAGCAAACACACACCAACAATCATAAACTTGCACATAATTACACACACACACACACACACATATCCACATACATACGTAGATAGGATTTACGGTCGTTCACTACAGTAAACAATGTGGCAATGACCTTTTGTCAAAGTTTTCTTCGACAATTGTATTTTCAAGTGAACAACCACGTGCGAATTGCAGTTTGTTTAGTTTTATGACTTTATTTTATGAGGTCACCTACTTCTGGACGGGTTGTGCAAAACATAGGTCGTTATCATTAACATATGATATGACTGATTTGATTCCAGGATAAACATGGCTGTTTTTGCAATCACACTCGTACCTAGGAGTGTTAATGCTGTTTAAGCCTAGCACTAATTAAATACAGAATCATTTAGTCTAGGAAGCTAGACTAAATGATTCTGTATTTAATTATTTGCTATCAGGTGAATTGCATGTAATAACAATAACCTCAAACATCTCACAGCCGTCTGATGCTGAACTAGGCAGAGCCTGTATATGGTATACAGACTGCCGATAAACAAACGCATAACAAATGATCGTGCTCATTACACAATTATTTGTCCTGGGTGGAAATCGAACCCACGACCGACATGTAGATAAATGGATACATGAATAAGGTACGTTGGTTGAATCTTTCAGATTATTATTTTTTGTGATAGACGGGGCAGACGAGCAGACTGGTCACCTGATGGAAAGTGAGCATTGCCGCCCATGAACGTCTGCAACTCAGGAGTCACAAACGCGTTGCCGGCCCTTTAGGAAGGACTACGCTCTTTTCTTGAAGGTTTGAAGGTCGTATCGATCCGGGAATACCGCAGACGACTTGGAGTGTAGAGGCAAGGAGAGCCATCTCTGTGTATTAAAGTTTCCGTAAAAACGCATCTAATAAGGGTGGCGCTGCGGTAGCCTAGGATAAATTAATATTGGCTTGAATAATAATTAGACACTGTGTACTAGACTGCTAAAATAGTCTGTGAGTTTTACAGACAGTAAATAAACGTGTAATAACTTTCAGACCATAAAAGTATAATATTATAATATTTTAACTCAGCACACTTCGCTCCGTCTATAACAGCTATGTTCATATCGTAGTTTTTCGTACGGCAGCGACCTCTATTTTCAGTATTAGCTGGAAACTTTTTCAACTTTTCCTCCCCTTAAGGATGGTTTTCCTTGCCTCTACACGCCATACTTTCAAAGGACGGGGTCACTTCACTCTGCTCTCTAATTAGTTAGACTAAAATGACATTTGGTGGGTTGCTGCGTGTAAAAATTGTGTTGTATCCTGAACAGTCAAGTTTAGTTAATTTATCAGTTTAAATTTGGATTGATCAATAGCCTGGATTTATAACTGTAGTGCCATTTTCAGAATACAAATTTAAATCATGTAAATATAAATTTTACGTATTTCAATGTCTCATATCCAAACAAAACTACACTGTTATTTAAAATGGTAAGCCAGAATCAGATACCATCAATTCAAACTATGCTTGCAAAGAGTAACATGCTAAATTATCCACTTTCTAGTTAATTTTATTTTATTTGAAAATTAAAGTAAAATTATATATATATATATACTATAGCGAGTAATAAATAAGTATATTACTATAGCGAGTCATTTGTCAGTAGTTTGCCTCAGGGGCGGTGAGTAAAATCGACCATATTAATAAATAATAATTAATTTATATTAGTTCTCTGTTTATTTTCAAATGTAATTATTGGTAAAGAAAATATAACTAGGTAGCCTTTACAATTGTATAAGCTTCTTTGTTTAAAAAAAAACAATTATAATTTTTATTTTTATTTTTTTATGGTATAAGGGAGCAAACGAGCAGACGGGTCACCAGATGGTAAGGGCGGCGAGTATTTATTTTTAACACGATTTTAGTAGCGTGACGTGGTTTTCACCCATTCTAAAACGTCAAGGACGTTATCAAGGACCGATGACAATACAATAATTTAGTAAGTTTGTTTGATTAACTTGATCGGGATGTGCAGGATTTACAACTTTTTCTACAGCCAAAAATACTGAAGTGTTTTATGCACCGTACTAAAGCGTGTACTGAAGCATATGAGACTTACTTACTTGTTACTTTTTTAGTCTTTAATAAGAAAATAATTATTATCATCATTATATCATTATCTAAGTGGCGTGCAATGGGAGAGGCCGATGTCCAGCAGTGGATTGCGATAGGCTGATGATGATGATGATGAATCATTATTAAAGACTAAGGAGTACAAAAAAAATAGTTACAAAAAAATACGATAATTTATTTTTTTTGAAAAAAAACATTTGATTGCTAAAAGCTTGCGATGCTTTAAGGAAATTTTAAAAATATATACATAGCTTTTAGCAATATTTGCCAATAATAACAATACTTACAACAATTGACATCTAGGACTACCACACATTTTTTCCTTAGTCACAGTATTTTTCGTTTTGAACTAATAGAAAATTTTCTACTTTTTAGTTACAAAAGCGTGTTTTTTTTGTGTTTTTTAATTATTACGTTTTAATATAAAAAACATACCTTTTAACGTTGCACGTTACCTTGCACGCTTGCAACATTTTAAAAAAAGGTTAGTTTGATTGTAGCCATCACTTTGGTATATTTAATTTAAAAGCAAACTATAGTTGATAGATAAAAGCTCTAAGCTCTAACAGTCAACTAGTGAATGTTTATAATATAAGAATTTAATATTTACATTGATGATGGGTAGTTACTCAAAAGGTGGTACACCGTATGCTTGTTTGCTACCTACACCTTAAAAAAATTGTTGCATACATTTTACAATAGGGCAAGATCATCTCTATATCTTTGGAAACCATCGACACAAATTTATACGTGAATACACAGGCGTCAACCTATACTTCCACACTCATATTATAAATGTGAAAGTGAATTTGTTTGCTTGTTTGTTACGCTTTCACGCCTAAACCACTAAACCTATTTTGAAAATTCTTTCACCAATGGAAAGCTACATTATCAGCGAGTAACAAAGGCTACTCTTTACCGCTATTTTTGTATAAAAGTCTACAGATATCTAGTACTGGAAGTTTATTTGTGATTAGCAATCCTGGCTAGGTCAGGCTACGGATGGGTGACCATTCTTAACATATTGAGACCCCACCGTGCCTCGAACAGCAAGTTAAGCCGTAGATCCCTATTGCCATACGGACATCTGCGGCAATCGTTACTAGTAGGAGCCCAAAATAGTCTGAAAACAGTATCTAAACCATTTAATCCATTTATTTATGCTACGCACGTACATTACAAAAACACGACATTAAAGCGAGTGAAAGCACAGTACTGGTTTTCTGCTGGCGCCTGACATTTGCCAAAAGAGTTGAAATTAATCTCACACAGATAACTCTCAACACAATGAACATAAAATCCAAGTGGGTACATAAAAAAACCTGATAAGAGTGTATGACACGATTTCATAATGAGTACAAAACAAAAATAGTAGTATTTCCTGAAAGACCACAAAAATAGTGCTAAAATTAAATTAAACAGTTTATGTAGGTTTCTACGACTAGGCTCAGAACGAATACGAAAGACGGGTTGAAAGGACACACGGTTATGCTACAGTAATTTCTGTTGGGTAAGAAATTTACTAAGCAAATGTTTTTTAAAGTCGTTTGGGACATACTGTGGAGGAAAGTCGTTGCATATCTTTGAAGCAGAACGCCTACAGCCTCCCTTGTATCAAGCTGTTCTGTGTGCTGATATTACCAAGTTGTTCGCTTCTCTTCTGCGAGTGTTTCTCTCTTGCACGACTTTCACCAATTTTAGCTTCTCGTAAAAATATTGTATTTTTTTGAAAAGACATGTTAAAAGTATTTTTCTACGAGCCTCCATTTTCAATGTGTTGGCAACATTTAGATAAGGTGTAATGGTGGCATCATTTAGGTACGCTGTGGCTAAAAGGAACGCATCCATTTTGAACTCTTTGTATGGCCTTCTTGGTTTTGTTATAAAGCCTAGGCCTGTAAACAGTGTCAAATTAGTTACATTGCGGTAATAAAATCGATTCTACGTGTCTTTCTAACAGGTTCTGAGAGATACTTTCTAACATTATACAGAGTTTATAACCTATAGAAAACGTTCCTTATCTTGCAATTTATATGTTCAGAAAAACGAAGTTCACTGTCCATCACCAAACCCAGGTTCACAGCATTATCAGCTCGTTGTATTTCTTGTCCATCGACTTCAACGTAAAATTATTGTGTAGCTACTTTATTACACTGTACTTTGGTACCCAATAGCATATACGTAGCATATATGTATTTTGTTTTACTCAGATTTAATATTAACGTGTTTCTGTTTGTCCAATTGTAAATGGTATCAGAATATTGCTCAGATCTTCATTTATTTATTCTACTGAACTTGGATATTGATTAGTGGTTGGGTTGAGATCTGATGGCAATTATACCACGTAATTAACCGAAGTTCAGCCGTATCATAATAGAACTAAAGCCGATCCCTACCTAGTTTTGGGAAAAGGCTGAGGGAATTAAAGAGTTAAATTAAAGAACCAGACTATTAGGTACCTACTTATATGTTCAAACTGATTCTTTAATTGCTGAAAAATTCCGTACGTAATCATAGGCTCCTCCTCCTCAAACAAATTAAGATATAACTTTTGTAACGAAATGACTTCTTCCTTTCGTAGACAACACTTGACTAGTTTTGAGCTCTCACAGCTCACATCTCCTCTCCGCTTTTGTGGAAATAACCCTTAGGCCCGATTTGAACCAAAGCAGAGACGAGACGAGACGAGAGGAGATGGGCTGTGAAGCGAAGTACTGTACTGTACTGTCAAAACCAGTCATTCAAGTCACTGTAGCTACGAAAGGACAACGTCATGTCGTTACGATAGTTATCTTATCTTAATTTGCTTGAGGAACAGTAATTAGAGGTTAAAGGCATACGATTAATTCTTCAATATTTAAATAGACGGCAACATAGATTCTGCATAAGAAACCATATAAAATGCCACAGTCATTGCGAATATACCACACTATTTCAAGAGTTTGTTGGGAGAAGGCAGCGGGGACGGGGCGCTCGAGCGCGGGCGCCGCTACGCTTATCCGCTCTGCTGCGCCGCTTGCTCGCTCAAGGCACAAAATTCTATAGGAAAATAAGACCTCCCTCTCCTCTTCGCTTGATCCATTTCCATCGAGAGATGTGGAAAAAAGAACTCTAATTGGTTATTCAAAACACATCTCCTCTCGTCTCCACTCCTCTCTGCTTTGGTGGATACCGATCCTTACTCTGATTTTCCGAGGCGGTAGCGGCAGTCGGCCCCTGTCTGAAGAAGTGCCCGAGTGGCGTGAGGCCGCTCGCCCGCGATCTATCGCTGCCGGCCGTCATACGCTCCATGGCCGTTAGCGGCAGATGTTTTTTCCGATGGAGAGGGCAACAAGAATACCTCTACTCTGATCCAGGAGGCGTGCCTTTCAGCATCTCATGTCCCTCGTACCACAGGTTTGCGGCACGGGTTTTCCTCTCCACGTCGTGGACGTCGCCCAAACAAGAGTTTTTACCCGCATATGGTGCCCGCGTTTTAGCGGGTAGGCGTTAGGAAAGGTACGGATATCATGGCTCTCAAGCGATTAATTTAATTTTAATAAAAACAACATCACTACTTTGTTATTTTAAGACAGTTAAAATATATTGCGTTCTAACCTAGACGGAGACAGCTAAGGTCATTTCCACTATTAGCGGTCTAGTCACACGATAGCTGTTATGTCAATTTGGGAGTTGGGACGCATACGAGTATATCATTATCCTGTACCGTGTTGTGATGTTCTAGAGACGGCCGATGGTTTGTTGAGACAGGGTCTTATTTACTACCCGCTCAGTTCACTAGTTTTAATATGTCGGTATTGCATGTATGAAAGCAGATAGTTGTTTGTTTTGATGTTCCTATATGCATGAGAACATCACTGCAAAGATAAATAACACTTAAAATAAACCCTATAGTAACCCCTCTGGCCAGCGTGGTTTAGTAGGCCAAAACCTAGTTTCTAAGGAGCGCGCCTATGTCCTGCAGTGGACTACTAAAGGCTGTTGATGATGATTATGATATTGTTCTTTTGAATGCAATTGAGGCATTGGATTATACAGCGTTGCATTCACGAATGTATAACCGATGAGATTTGTAGAGGTATTAAAGCAAGTATATTGAAGGCAATCGGTACTGTGGACATTAAGGATGGCTAAATTATTATAATATAACAAATATTTTGGACATCGGACACACAACGCCGTCTAGTTAGTTTTAAACTAAGCAGAGCTTGTACTATGAAAGCTAGATTGACTTATAGTAATTTTTTTTTGTAAATGTGGGTGTCTATAAAAATATATATTTGTAAAAATGTGTTTCATTTCCAATAATATTGACATAAAGTCTGAAGGGGAGAAAGGTCGTAAAACTGATTTCAGCTCGATAAAGAGCCTCGACAAAAAAACTCTAAAGTAAACTCTTGAGAGTACTGCAAGCTTTACGAGTGCTTGTACGTACGTAGTGTTGTTTTGACAAAGCTATCTTAAAACGCAAATAAACATAGCGCTATAAAACATTTTTTTTATTGTAAATAAGATATACATGTTTAAAAACAATTATATTAAACGGGAATCGATTTCATTTAATTTTTTTCATTCATTTAGATTTCATTTAGTTTTTCATTTTGAATGACCAATCCCATGTAAGCTGTAAGCTCATCATGAAATCAATTAAAATACACTAAAAAAGGAACTAAAAGAGAAATATAAAACTTACCGTCCAAAAATCCAAATTTTGTTTATTCGCACACAATTTCATATCTTAGAGAAGTCAAGCTGTCTTTTGTCCGACAGATGAGACTGTACTGTGATGTTTGACCGAATATTTATCTTATCATTAAATGCGCAAATCTTTGTACTGCGTCACATTAAAAAACGAGGTCATTCAATTGTGAGTTCTTTGCATATTGTCTTAATAACTACATGCATTGTTTCGGATTTTTTTAAATTTTCATTTCGACTGTACCTTTCAGTACGCAACAGCGGGGCTGGTACAGTCGGATAGGAAACCGTTAATATCTTTTCTGGTTATAATAACTTGATGCAGCTCACAAATGGCAGTCAAATCCCTAACTAGGTAGAGCCTGTAATATTATGATAACTGGACAGATAATAAACATTTATTTATTTATTCTTATTTTATTCAGAATACCAATAGCATAAATAACGTAAGGTAAACATTATAATATTATGTAACAACGAAGTTGTTTACAGGTTTTCGGATTCTAAGTGTGAAACAAAAGATCAAATAACTTACTAACAACAAAAAAGTACTTTTGAAAAAATAACAGAACATAACAGAATTAACAGATTTTTGGAAACAAAGAAAACGAAAAGGTTTAACAAGAAAATGTGACGCTCCTGAGTCGCTCGTGGTCGTCGGTTCGACGACACCCGTTGGTCGTTGGACCAGACTAGTCAAATATTCACGTGCCATGAGATTTAACAACACTTTACACGTCTTACTTTACATGAAAAGCCTCATCCACCACCAAGC